AAGGAGACTTTCTGATGTTATCGAACTGGAGAGGTCGATCCTAGCGTGCGGCACATTTGGAAAGTGCCCGAAAAACCATACCGCGGGTTGACCCAAGCCTTGTGAGCGAAATTGGGTAGACGGAACCTTTGGATGCTGTCAATAGCTGTGCTAGCACGAAGTCACAAGTCATCGTGGCCGAGGGCTTAAGCGTGCTGGCCTTGTCCAAATTGTTTATTTCGCTAGATAACACGCTCTTTCCCAGAAACTGTAACTAAGGTCTGTTTAGCATAGTTGCAGTATAATATAGTATATGTCTGTTGGTGTTGAATAAACGCAAATTCCCCTGGGCAAGCGTCTGAAACAGGGATTTGCTAGCCGCCCTAATAGACAGATATCATCGAATACATACATTTGCATGTCAACAACAAACAATTTTTCTCGCCATAATCTATGTTACATATTTATAAGTCCACCATTCATCCATGCTTTGAATATTGCTGTCACCTCTGCCCTGGTGTTTCTGATATATATTAAGAGATTCTTGATAAAATCGAAAGAAGCATCTGCAATGTTATTGGTCTAGACCTGGCATCTCGGCATCAGTCTATTTCCTACCACCGTAATATAGCTTCCCTGTGCTTTTTCTATAAATACTTTCATGGTAATTATTCTGTTGAACTTTCCTCTATTGTACGTAGACTTTATGAATTTAACGGTACTTGAGTTCGTCTTAATTTGCCATGTTATCATCCACAGTCAATTAAGATCAGAACCCATGAGAGCCATACCTGGTGTAACATCAGGAAATTTAATATTATTATTGTAAACTGTTAGCTGTACACAACCCTTTCTAAGATCAATGTTTAAGAATAGCTTCAAGCGAATTAAGCCTGTAGGTCTTAGCGGGGACCGTCCTTCTTCGAACTTTTTAGACTGGCGCTACAGAATCAAAAACAAAGAATTGTACCAAATAACAGAAATAAAGATGTGTGAGAAATCGTATTATAACAATTATAATAAGAAGAATACATTGACGTAATCGTAGATTGACCATAGTCAAGATTATAAAATCATTGTGAATGCTATGATCTTGTCGATGGCTGCATAGTAGGCGCTTCCATAGAGTTACATACAGTTTTGAATTCAGAGTTCTCCTCCTCCTAGACACGGCTAGTCACGACTATAGGGTCCAGTCTGCCAGGCTATTTAACCCCATATAGCTATATATATATATATATATATATATATATATATATATATATATATATATATATAATAAAAAAAGGCTTAAACACTAATATTTCATGGTCATAATTTATTCCATTGGAATCGTAAATACGATCCAATTCATCAGACCTACAAATTCAAAAAGAAAACAGAAAAAAAACAACTCGGGAAATAAAAACAGAATTTAGAGAAAGTGTAAGTATGAGGAGGAGGGAGATTAAACCTTAACAGAGAGAATTTTAGGAGATATGGGAGGAAGGGGTTTAAATAAGAGAAAAGAATGAATGTTGACGGATATCTAATGCATAAAGATACATTTCGTGGTGACATACACACACCATAGACAATTTAATGTTAGAATAAGAGGGAGGGAAAGAAGAGGTGGGGGAGAGAGATGGGACGAAGGAAAGTAAAATTGCGTTTACTTAAAGGGCCGCTTTGTAATTGAGAAAATTTGACAAATTTAATATCGACTACAGGTTACAAATCAAATATAAATATATGAAGATAAATATAACGATTATCTAATCCAGCAAGGACCTATATTTCTATGTTCAAAAACACATGCGAATACACACAATAACATATACATGTATATGCATACACATAGGCGTGTACCCACATACACACATACATACATACATGTACACACATATAAAAATATAAAAATATATTCACATATCCACACATACACATATTCATCTATATCCATATACACACACTTTTCACATACATATACACGCATACATATGCACACATGTACATACCCATATATATATATATATATATATATATACATATATATATACATACACACACACACATACATATGCATGTATATGCGTGTATGCACACATACACATCCATACACACATACATACATACACACACACATATATATATATATACATATACATATACACACACATACATATACACACACCCTTACATATACACACATACACACACATATATACACATATACACACACATACATACACACACACACACACACATATATATATATATATAAAAAACAAAAATATAGAAATATACAAAAAATACATACATACACATACATGCATGTATACACACATACAGCCATCCGCATCCTGTCCTTCGTATATATACACCCACATATGTATATAATGTACTACTAAAGAAAGACCAACTATGTTAGTGGACCAAGAGACAACTTGCCAGCCAACAGACAGCCCGTGTCGTTACTCGAGTTTCACGCTCTCGCAATCGTCAGAAGACTAGAACACGAAATCGGAATTTGTTTGCATATAAACTCTAAGTAGCCGAAACGGTGCATTGTAGACAGATGTACTGAATTAAAGTACTTCTAAAATATGCAAAATATAAAAAAAAAAAATCAGGTTCATTTGCAATTACATGATAATATTGTGGAAAACAAAAAGTAAAAACAAAGCAACAAAAAAATAACAACTTTTCAAGGAGGTAACTGTTAAATGTGAATTATAGTGCACTATCTCATTTATCTATTTATGGCATAAAGAAATTGGGTGAAAATCTCTCCCTGTTTGTGCATAATAGAATGTGGCCTAATCTGTGAGGGAGCGAATTCAATGACAGTCTTTTTTATATCATAATTTTCTCTCGATGAGTTAAAGGATTTCCTAGTTCTTATTGTCATTATTTAGCATTAACAGTTTTGGATATGTGAGAAGAGGACTGTTTGTGTCTGAAAATTGGTAACACAATCTCGAATTCATAATTGCCTTATGTCACAATTCATTGAAGTGGAAAAATACACTAGAGAGAGAGAGAGAGAGAGAGAGAGAGAGAGAGAGAGAGAGAGAGAGAGAGGTTTAAAATTAAAAAAGAAGAAAAATGAGAGAAAAAAGACATGGAAGGGGAAACAAACTGAATTTGGGAAAAAAAAAAGAAAAACGAAAGAATAAACGTGAATAGAAAATGAATAAGGAGAAAAGAGATGAAAAGCAATTAATTGCAAGAAAGTTGCTTAAATAGGAAGGTTAAGAAAATTCATTGAAAAAACTGATTGATTTTTTTACCACTTAATCAACCATTGCAGTTTATTGAAAGCCAGAAGATATTTTAGGGTTATGAGAATTTTTTGGAAGATGATAATAATTTACTGGCGCAAGTCTTACGATTTAACCCATTGTTGTGGGGAGACGAGGTGGATTAATACATTTTCTAAGGGTTTTGTGCGTAAGTAAATATAACGAATCCGACCGGAAATGGAAATCTGCTCATCGATTTTCAATTCCGAGCCGCTATCTATTGCACTCATCTAGGTACTGACCAGGCTCGACGTTGCTTAACTTCGGTAATCGTACTGGAACTGAAGTTTCAATGTGATATGGCCGTAAACCCCAGTGAAAGAATAAAAAGAAGAAAATCGGAAGTGTTTACGGAGAAAGAAAAAAAAGAAATAAACAAAAGAAAGAAAGAAAGAAAGAAAGAAAGAAAGAAAGAAAGAAAGAAAGAAAGAAAGAAAGAAAAAGGAAGGAAGGAAGGAAGGAAGGAAGCGAGGGAGAAAGGAAGGATGGGAAGAAGGAAGGATGGAGAGAGAGAGAGAGAGAGAGAGAGAGAGAGAAAAGGAAAAAATTAAAAGAAAAAATGGAAGGGGCAAAAATATAAAAAAGAAAAAGAGAAAAATAACCGTAGAGAAGAAACGTTGAAATATGGAAAATGAGAAATTGATAGAAAGGGGAGAGAAAGGAAGAGAGGGTATAGGAAGGGAAATCGAAAGAGAGAGAGAGAGAGACGTAGAGGACAGAGAGAGGAGAAAGTGGTGAGAGGAAGAGAGGGAGGAAAAGACGGAAAAGAGACGGAGAGACAGGTAGATAGATAGAGAGGGATAGAGAAACGCGAGCAGGAGAGAAGTGAGAGTGAGTGAGTAAGAGAGCATTGTTCAAAAGAAGATGAGAGAAAAGGAGATAGAGAAAGAGAATGAAAAAAGGCAGAGAGATAAGAACCACGGAGAGGGAGAGAGCGGAGAGACAGAGAGAGAGAGAGTTGGAGGGCGAGAGAGAGGTTAGAGGAGGAGGGAGAGTGAGAAAGAGACAGGAGAAAAGAGTTAGGGAGGAAGAGGGAGAGGAAGAGGAGGAGAGGAGAGGTGTGGTTAAAATGGGAAAGAAAATCCGAAAACAAAGAAAATAGTTAAAAAAAGAGATATGGTTAAAAAAAAATGAAAGTTAAATTTACAAATCGAAAAACATTAAAGAAATAAACTAGGGGACACTTTTAAAAACTGAAATGAAAAAAATTCAAATGAATTTTTCTTTTGCCGGAAGCTCAGGTCAAAAACGCGCGCAAGACTTCTTAGGAGTTAATGATATTTGCAGGAAATGGGGCCGAGGAGAATATTAGTGTTTGACATTTTTTCTCATTCAATTATTTTTCTTTTCTTATCCTTTTCTTTCTTTCTTTCTTTCTTTCTTTCTTTCTAATCTGACGTTATATCCATTAGGAGCAACTAATTTCTGCAAAACAAACAAACAAAATAAAAAGTCTAAGAACATTGAATTAAATCAGAAACAACCAAAAAAACACTAAAATTTTCTCATTTTCTCTGAAAAAAAAAAATCGACAAACTGTTTAACTCGACGTCACAGGCGTGACAAAAATGACGTTTATATTTAATTGCATTTCGAATTTGGACATGAAATGTGATGCTTAAATCGTTCATTGTAATCAGAACTTTTCTTTCTTCGTTTCTTTTTTTTTTAATTTCTGATTTGACAAGGCGGACATGCAGTAGTCCGTACTAAAGCGAGTGACACATGTGAAAATTGATGTTTTTAAATATTCTGCTAACCTTTGAGGAGATACAACTAATTTATCTCCTTTCTTTCTTTCTTTCTTTCTTTCTTTCTTTCTTTCTTTCTTTCTTTCTTTCTTATTCTGTCTATATCTATCTATTCATCTACCTAGGGTTTATACAATAGTCTGTAAATCTCTTTTTTTTTCCACTCTGTTCTCTCTCATATATATATATATATATATATATATATATATATATATATGAGTTGAAAATCAAATACAGATCAAACAAATATGGGTAGGAATCCGACAGTATGATAAAATAAAGAATAAATAGGAAACGTGTATCACTGGATAGTTTCCTATTTGTTCTTTATTACATCATATTATATATATATATATATATATATATATATATATATATATATATATATATATATATATATCAGGTCATCCCATAAGTTCTGTCCGAATTTTGAATAAAGAAAACAAGTGACCAAATGTTACATTTAATTACAGATTCAATCAACAATGTATTTTCCCTGATTATCTATGACTTCCTTCCATCTATTAACAAGCTTACTAATTCCATTACTGTAAAATTATTTTGGCTTTGATTTGAAGAACTCACAAATGTCAGTTTTAACCTGTTCCTGTGTTACAAAAGCTGTTTCTTCCAAATGATTCTGTAAGCTACGAAACAAATGGTAGTCTGAAGGAGCAAGATCGAGAGAATAAGGTGGATGAGGAATTTTCTCCCAACCAAGTTCTTCGATCTTTTGTGACGTGATTTTTGCTGTGTGGGGTCGCGCATTGTCCTGATGAAACATCACCTCTTTTCGATTCACTAGAGCAGGTCTTTTTCCCCTCAAAGCTTGGTTCAAACGTTCTAATTGCTGACAGTATATTTGAGCATTAATTGTTGCATTAGGTGGTAAGAATTCAAAGTGGATTATTCCTTGGCGATCCTACCAGATTGAAAGAAGAACCTTTTGCCCATGAAGTTCCCTTCTCGGCTGTGGCTGGGGTCCTTCCTCTTTACCAAGCCACTGTCTACGACGCTTAACATTTCGATAAAAGATTCATTTTTCGTCGCCAGTCACAAGTCTATCCAAAAATGGTGAAACAAGTTGGCGAGAATGGAGAGAAGAGCAGATGTCAACTCAGGATTTGAGGTTGTTTTCAGACAATTCATGAGGCCCCCATTTTCCAAGTTTCGGAACTTTTCCAAGTTGTTGAAGATGACAATGAACATTTGTATGGTTTGAACTGAGAACCACTGACAATTCCTCAACTGATAAAGCAGGATTTTCTTCAAGGCCTGCTTCAAGAAGCTTGTCATCAAACACAACTGGACGTCCCGTTCGATCTTCATCTTCAAGGGTGAAATCTCCACCTCTGTATTTTGCAAAGCATCTTCTGCAAGTTCTTTCATTCACACATTCCTCTCCATAAACTGAGTGAATGTTTCTAGCCGCTTCGGCCGCTGAGTTTCCTTTCTTGAACTCATAAAGCATTATGTGCCTCAAATGATTCTTGGGTACTTCCATGTTAGCAGGTTTTAATCAAACGAAATTTAATTTTATTGTTCTCTGAAATAAAATTTGATTAATTCAAATGCATCTAAACATAAAAATAATGTTCAGCTCCATTCGACATTACAAAATACTCTTTAAATTTCGTTCATTTTAACAAAAAAGTTAAAATTCGGACAGAACTTATGGGATGACCTTATATATATATATATATATATATATATATATATATATATATATATATATATTCAACTACCTAGGGTTTATACAATCGTCTGTAAATGTCTTTTCTTTTCCGCTCTGTTCTCTCTCTCTCTCTCTCTCTCATATATAATATATATATATATATATATATATATATATATATATATGAGTTGAAAATCAAATACAGATCAAACAAATATGGCTAGGAATTCGACAGTATGATAAAATAAAGAACAAATCGGAAACGTGTATCAATGGATTTCTATTTGTTTTCTATTTGTTATATTATATTCATCATATATATATATATATATATATATATATTAAAGAAAAACAGACCACTTTAAGGTTCCATTATAATAATTTATTTCACCAGAGCCCTTTTAAAGGACTCTGTTGCCCAAGTATAGGATTGGTGTATACGGAATAAATTCCAGTAACCAAAAATACTATTCTTAAAAGAGTGCTCAATATGGAGTAGAGCAAATATAATTATTTATTCGAAAATTATAACGTAAATATGTTATAAAATCACTACAAAAATAGACATTTTGTTTCAACACTTCAATTGATGAGGTTGAATGTAGAATAAAGTGTTTTAAAAGATTCAAATCAGCCAAAATCGACAGAGGAAACGCTGTTACATAAGCTGCAATGACCAATCAAAATACGAGTAGATGAAAATTCAAAAAACTTGACAACGAACCTTGGTCATAATAATTAATGGCATCATGTTAGGGTTCGACTAAAATAGAAATCATTCTGATTAATATTAAATTTTATTATAAAATTGAAAATTAAAAATTACCAATTTTAAATTTAATCTGCATTATGTTTAAAATATTATAAAATTATTTAAAGAAGAAATTGAGGAAAAATACTTATATTTTATTATTTATTTTGTTTTAAATGATAAGCCAAAGCCTCAGTTATAATAAACGTTAATCTGACGGGGATGTAAAGCATTTTTAAAACTTAGATACATTTGAAGCGCTGCTATGGGCAATGGAGGACGAAATTTTGCAAAAGACAATACACACATAATCAGATTATAATACACAAACACGTAGACATATTTAGATGTATAAACACGCAAAAACACGAACGAAACGGGAAATAGATGTTCACGACCCCCACCCCCCAAAAAAAATCAGACAGCATATACATACATTAAAAGTCATATATAAGCTATCATACACACATACATTAAAAAAGACACACATATATTAATAAAGACATATACATATACACACCGACAAAGATTCAAGTTTGAAAGTGTTATTAAATGAAAGCAAATAGACTATTAAAATATTACTTACATCGGCAAAGAAATAAATAAAAAGAGGGTTCAATAAATAGAATTTAAGATGGGGGGGTAGAATAGGAAAACAAATATTTGGCAATGAACAACGCAAAGAAAAAACAATTAAATATATAGAAATGAACAGAAAAAATCTATTCATACACACACACATACCCCCACCCCAAATTCAGGTAAAATGCACCACTTAAAATAGAATAAAACTAGCTAATATATAAAAAAGAAAACACATAAACAAATATATACAAATATCACATATATACTTATATATGCATGAGTACAGATACACGAGTACAAACATATAAACGATATATAAAAATACACACATACGTATGTGTACACACAAGCATCCATACAAATAGATACATACCTAAATATACATACATACACATACATATATATATATATACACATACATACTTATACATATACATACCTACATATACATATATATGCGCATATGTATATATGCACACACATAGAAATAAATATATCAACCTACACAGCAATATATATATATATATATATATATATATATATATATATATACATACATTATCAAAATGACAATAAAGGATTCCATACAAGATTAAAGTTTAACAAAAATCATTATCAAACAAAAGTAGATTATAGTTAACATAGATAATCCATTGAAAAACACTAAGATATGCACATATGTACATAGATACACACACAAACACACACACACATATATATATAGGCATACACACATATACATAGACATACATACTCATACATATACAAGCGCATAAATATATAAACAAGCACATACATAACAACCATAATTACAAACACATACACACACACACACATATATATATATGCACAAACATATAACTACAAGTACCAATATATTCATATATACCCGCAAATACACATATATCCACATACACACACACACACACACACACACACACATATATATATATATATATACATGTACATGCAAATACGCATATATATATATATATATATATATATATATATATATATATATATATATATAATATACACACACATATATACATCTATCAATAAAAATACACACACATGTGTACACACAAACAACGTAATAAATGTATACATACATATATGTACATAGATTGGAGGATTAGCAGATAATATAAGTAATAACATACTAAACTTACAGTAACTTTGTATTATCGTCAAAAATATTACTACCCACATAGTAAGTTAAATTTTTAAATGATGTATTGAATGTTTTATATCAAATGATATATATTATATAATATATATAAAGTGATAGTGTTGAATATATATATATATATATATATATATATATATATATATATAGGTTCTATATTCATCTCTACTATATAAGACACCAGTAGTGTTGAAACAAAATGGCTATTTTTGTAGTGATTTTATAACATATTTATGTTATAATTTTCGAATAAATAATTATATTTGCTCTACTCTGTATTGAGCACTCTTTTAAGAATAGTATGTGTTGGTTATTGAAATTTATTTCGTATACACCAAACCTAAAATTGTATGTATGTATATATATGTGTGTGTGTGTGTGTGTGCGCGTGTGTGTGTGTGTGTGTGATTAACACAAATATAAAATTTGTCTCTTAGCTGATTGATGTTATTTTCAACTTCTCGACCCTAGAGTTTCGTCAACTCGTCAGGAGATAACACCAATTGTCGGTTTTCTTGTTTTTCGTCACTTTTATATTGAGTTAAAATAATTTATGCACTTTTTATTGGTGCAAGTTTGATTTGTGCATTGGCGCGTGCACCGTCTGCCAGGGAGCATGGGTGTATGTGCGTACGTGTAGAACGTAATGGTTATTTCTTCTTTTCGTTGTTTTTATTATCTCATTATACTCCCCCTTATTGGTTTCATACTTTTTTCTCTCTTTCAAATATAAGTGTCAGAGACAAACGTAGCAAATCGGGCATCCGGTTTGGCTAGCAGTTTTTGCACTTGGTAATTCTTGAACGCTCTAGGACTTTCTTTGGTTTGGAAAATGTAGGTGCATTTCAGTTTTTTACTTAAATATATAATTATTATTAATGCTTAAATGTTAAGGTAAAATGTTTTCAGTTACTCATTATTTAATT